GCATATTTGTATGTAGCTGACTTACCCATTTAAGTGACTTATCTTCATATTCAAGGCCTCTTTCCCTATATACAGCTGCGTTAGTAACATTTAAATTTCTCCTATTCAATCTCCATTATGACTCAACTGCACAACAGCTATTTCTATGTCAGAAACTGAATGACAGTGGGAACTATGGGACCCACAAACACACCAGGTACCATATTATCACATAGACCCTACTCGATGAAATCCGTGGCTCAATCTGCACTGTGCTGTAGATACTCCCCTGTGGTAGGCAGGAACATACCTTGACACTACGCATCAGCAGAAATGCTCATCTCCACTGCAGGCATAGAAGAATGCTCTCTTCATCCTGAATGCTGTCCTCATGTAGAGGACAACATTCTCAACAAGAGATTGCTTGGCTTTAAATTGCCATCTTGTATTTCCTACAAATTCAGCCATCTCAGCTGAAGGATGGCGAGGTATGCAGCAAGGCCAAACAGATGGGAATCAATGGGTTAGCCTCATGTAATTCTTGTGCAGACAGGGCTGTGGTTCTATGGAAAATCAGCTCATCAGGTACTGCTGATCTGCCAGGATACTTTCAATCCCTTTGTGTATTTTAATTCTTTTGTTACACTAGGATGCCAGTCTGCACTATGCACTCATTTCATTTTCAGATGAATACCTTCATGTTTCTTTGTTCTGAGGAGAAATTTCCTATATGTACGAATATCTAAAACAACAACATTTCAATTCTTTGTTACGGTTCTTTGCGCTGATCTAAAAAAAAAAAAAAAAAGGGTAACAGTTAAGACTGCTGGAACAGATGCCAGCCACGCTGATACGTACTGTTGTGTCACCTCCCTGTGCTACCCCATCTGTCCCATATGTACTTCTGTTCTCTCTTGTTTAATATTTAGATTTAAGCTCCTGAGAAAAAAGATAAGAGGTAAGAAGGGCTTTATTCAGAGAAACTACCCCAGAAACAAAAATAGTTCTAATTGTGTATTTCGGTCCTTGAAAAAAAAGGATTTTGGAAATTACTGTAAAGGCTCAAGTGGAAAAGTGGCATAAAGGGAAGGGGAGACAAATCCCAGTCCTATCATAGATTCATTCTTTTCTCACTCAGTTTTTCATCCTTTTGTGGTATGGATGATTCTAAGGTGCCAAATGTAATATTTATAATCTCAAAATCTGATCAAATTACTAGCTGTTCAGCACTTTCAATGCTGTCTTTCCCATTTTGCATGATCTGTAATTGGTGTTAAGATATTCCTATTTATTCTGGAAATACAAAATGTGTTACTTTGCTCTTAATCTGCATAGACTGAAACCATCTGCTGTGGCTCACAGTTGAAGAACAGTAGATTACATATTCAGTCTAGTACCTACATCCAGCCCTCATTAAACAAATAATCATTACTGCTATCAAGTTGTAAGCTAGAGCAGTGTACTATTACAAACTTATATTTAAGCACATAAACAATTCATTCTTTTTAAAACAACAACAAACAAACAAACAAACAAAACCAGAAAAAGTAAACTCAATGAAATACGTATTTATTTTTTTGCTGATGCTCCTGATGCTCAAAAGGCAGCTTTCAGTGGCTCAGGCAGAGGATCAGTGGAGGTTCCCCTCAGGTGTAGTAGTGGTTCTGACTGCCACACTGAGCAAAAGGTGATCTGACAAAAGAAAGTCAGTCTGTACCCACTAGCAGGATTAGCTACTTTGCCTCCACATGGGCAGCAAGCTGGAGTCACCAGGAATAGCTGTGCAGTAAGAAAACCGATTTGTAAAATAAATTTGTTTGCATTGCACCCAAGCAAAAAAAAGTTATGCCCCAAGCTGGCTTGATTTAAAACAGAAACATGAGGAATCCTGTTTGCCTTGTACCCAGACATAGCACCAGATAGTTTGCTCTAGGGTAGCAAGTGAAATATTGTGTAATGTCTCTTTACTAGGTATAGTTAGACAAAAATAGTAGAGCTAAGATATCCATTCCTGGCCTGCAAAACCTGAAGGAATCAGATGGCCAGCACACAGTCTGCAACCACTGACATCCATCTGAAGTGCTGTAGTAGAATGGAGCTCAAAACAGTCTTAAGATCTGCCTGACAAGTTAGAACAGGTCAGAACAGAGAGGGAGCAAAGCTTTGGACCAGGCAGGTCTCAATCTATGGGAAAACTGAATGTAACCACCAGTGATTCCAAGCAGGGCCTAGAGAAGGGAGAGCTCTCTGGTTCTGGCTTCTCTTTGTGGACAGCTTTCCAACTCATCCACCTCAGCCTTGGAATCTAAGAACTGATAGGCGATGCAGCTGTCAGAAACCATAGCGCAGCACCACAGTATAGTAAACCCAAGGCTTCACTAGTATGTTTAACTAATACTTGATTTTTAGTTGTTAACAAACAGATGAGGTGAATTTGGTCCTGTCAGACTGGTAAGCAAATTTTTTTACTGTCCACAACAAATGGACTAGAGGAATAAGTAGGAGCAGAAAGGCTAAATGTTTTAGAGCAGAATTTAATCCCCATTTAATTTTTTCCCATGATGCAAGTATTTCTCCAGCTATCCTTATGTTTTCTAGAACATATTTTGGATGACGATGATGATGCATTCTTTCTGGAATTATTTCCTCATAATTCATTTGTCATATTTGTCATATTTGTACAACTTTTTACAAGCAAGATACGTCAAATTGTTCTCCTGTTGATGTAATTTAGCAGACTTCACTTAGTTTTAGCTAGAAGGAATTTGGTCCAGTCCATTTTGTTTACAGATTTATTCAAAATTAGGGAATATTTTTAAAACCAGATCTGTGCCTAGCTTCTGGCTGGCTGACCTTATGACTGGAAAATGCCAAGGCCTGTTTTTCACTTGTGAAATACGGCATTTATGCATAAATGTAGGAAATGTAGGAAATGTAGGAAACTTCCAGCTCCTGAGGTTTTTGTTGTACGTTCTATATGAAATCTTTCAACCATCAATTTTTAGCCTAAGATCTCCAAGGAAAAGGTTTTCCCATCCTTCTAATAATGCAGGTGTCCACATAGTAATGTTGGTCTGACTTCCTGGGGAAGCAACACACAAGGATTTAATTGTTGAAAGGAGGAGCTACAAACCTTCTTAGTGGAATCAATTTACAGTCAGCGTAAAGATGCCAAAACTTGTGCTGTCTCTACATATAGTATTGTAACCCTTGGGATGTCCCAGGGTGATTTAAACAGTTATGGGCAGTTATGTTACTATGTAAACAGTTATGGGCAGATCTCAGACTTAGATCCCTTAAAACTGTATTAAAATCCAAAGGTACTGTAAGATCATTCTCACACAGCACAGCATCTCACCTCAGCACTTATATCAGTGCATTTCTCACGTGTCATTATGAATATAACGCCTTCTCCTCAGTCTGGAAAGTCCTGAGATATTGAGCTTTATCTTCACAGCATTTTAATGATTGGATTAACTTTATGCTAATTGGGTTCTAAAGGTCTGTGTCTTTACAGCTGAGCCATGCAGCTGCTGTCATTGTAGGAATGAGGTCACTTGACTTCAGAAAGTATATAAAAAATAATCTCAGCTCTTTTTACCTCATATGGTACAAGCAGCATGCTTGGTTAGGCAGCCTCACATCTGACTTACAAACACGTAACTGATACCATACTCAGCAGTCAAAACTGTAAAGACTGAAACTCAGTGAGGACATTTGTAAGATGCCCAGTTCACTTCGAAAGCCGCAAGAGGGAAAGTTAAAAGCCTCGGGGTTACTTCCTCTTAAAGACCATCTGAGAGTTAAAGAAAGTGGTGGTCCAAAAGCTGACATCGTTAAGACTTCACTATAACCTAGTAGCAGACGTCAACTCTTCCTAGAGGGGATGCACTTACCTTTCTTTGCTTCTTTACGGTGAATACTGCATTCAAAACATCTGATAACCAGTTCGTGTACGGAGGAATGGCTCCTCAGCCTTGTTATCTAGTGCCACCCAGTGGTCATCTATGCCAATTGCTCGGGTGTGTGGTCTCCACAAGATACCGAATTTGAACTCACCAGACAAGGCGATGCCTGTTTTCTAAATGTGAATCTCGCTTCTTGTAGGCGAGGAAAGAGAGAAAGAAACCGACCTATGTAGCTAAGTACAGAATCAAAGCATATTGGCATACTGGGCTGGTAGAGCTGACTTTGGTGGTTGTTGGAAAGTTGATTTTTTTCAGTGATATTTAATGGGATGGCAGATATTACATTTTTAAAATTATTATTTATGTCTTACATTGAAAAAACAAACAAACAAACAAACAAAACAAACATGCACAATTGCAGGAAATAAATGGTAGCATGAACTGCTATCCAAAGGGGTCTTGACATGGACTTGCAAAGAGTATTTTGCCGACAGTGGTTGTATGAGTTATGCCCATTGCCCTAGTGAATGTCATGGAATATTTTGCAGTTTTCTGTTATGTATATACTAGATCATACATCTGATAGAAGAAAATGCAATTTCCATAAATTTGTGAATGTCCCAGTTAAACAGCTCAGAACTCCTGATTTTAATCTGAAATATCCTGGATAGATTGTATGGCAGCAAAATGGTGTACTACACAAAAATTCTGTTGGCATTCCTTTCTTCACTGATGTCTAATTTGGGGTTCATTGTTGTGTTGGATACGCTCATTTTAAACTATTGGAAATGAACTAATTTAACCTTTGTAGCATGGTGTACTGGTAGTCAGCTGAATATGAGCCAGCAGTGTGCCCAGGTGGCCAAGAAGGCCAATGGCATCCTGGCTTGTATTAGGAATAGTGTGGGGAACAGGACTAGGGAAGCAATCCTGGCCCTGTACTTGGCAGTGGTGAGGCTTCACCGCAAGTAGTGTGTTGTTTTGGGCACTGCAGTACAGAAAGCACACTTAGGTGCTGAAGCAAGTCCAAAGAAGGGCAACAAGGCTGGTGAAGGGCTTGGAGAATTGCCCTATGAGGAGAGACTGAAGGAACTGGGAATGTTCAGTTCTGGGGAAAAGGAGGCCGAGGGAAGACCTTATTGCTCGCTTCAATACCTGAAAGGTGCTTACAGCGAGAGTGGAGCTGGCGTCTTCTCACTGGTGACAGGATGAGGGAAAACAACCTCAAGTTGTGCCAGGGTAAGTTTAGGTTGGATATCAGGAAAAACTTCTTTATAGTAAGGGGTTGTTAAGCACTGGAATAGGCTCCCCAGGGAGGTGGTTGAGTCACCGTCCCTGGATGTGTTTAAAAAGCATTTGGATGTGGTGCTCAGAGACGTGATTTAGCAGAGGGTTTTTAGTTCGGGAAGTATGGTTAGCTTGTGGTTGGACTCACTGATCTTTAAGGTCTTCTCCAATCTGAGCAATTCTATGATTCTACAAAGTGTTCGGATGTGTACAAGAGGTAACAAAGGGGCCTTGCTTCCGTCTGCTTAGTAAACAAAATTTATGTGTGGGAGTAGATAATTCTGTTTATTATATGCATCTGCATTTTGTTATGTAGCTGCAAAGTCAAATACCAGGAAGGACCTAAGTCAAATATTAGGAAGAAATAACTGAAAGGCTTTTTTTCTCCCCTGCCCCATGTTTTAGATTGCAGTGCTTAAAAGCATCACACTTGAATTATGGGCAGTAGCTATTTTCTATCTCGGGAACGTGTCACCGAAGCATGGTGCATCAAAACAGGAACTTAGGAACGCTACTGGGTGTTCTGACGCATTCCCAAACTGCCAAAGCACTTTAAATGTCAGAAGAAGCGTTATGCAGCGACCCAGTCGATAGATGGCAGTGCTCTCTCCTGCTCTGAGAGACGAAGTCGGTCAATTCCACTGCATTCTGGAAAGTCAGCTGAAGGTGGGAACCGTCTCCGTTCAAAAATCCTCCTTTTTACATTTCTGATCATGTACTGAAAAGCAAAACAGATGTCAGCAGTAGACAGTGTGCAGTCTTTCCAAAGGGCAGAACACGTGACTAGAAGGAGGATGGAGATAATACCATGCTTTGCAAATCTGAAATACATCCTGAAAAATCTTTGTTTATAAAATTACTCTCTAATGACAGTGTGCAAGTTAGAATGGAGAAGGCACCAGGTGCTCCTCCTCATCCTGTGGCATCCTTCTTTGTCAGAAAGGTGTCAGCAGAAATCGCTGCAAGAAAAAAGGTCTGTTTGCACAGCTTGAATTTCGCCAGGAAAGTGGACAGCTTTTTGCTTATTCTTTAGCCAGAAAGCTGAGGTAACTTTTGCCATAATCCATATCAGCTGACATATTATATAGAGGAACCTGTCTGCCCTGACAGGCAAGAAGAGCAGCTCTGGGAAGCTAGTGCCCTAACTACAGGTGTCCTGCTGCTGGGCAGTTGGACTAGATGGCCTTTAAAGGCTCCTTCCAACCCAAATGATTCTGTGATTCTTTGGAAGAGCTGGGAGTACCACCAACTGTTGTGAATGAACTTCATAACTTCAAAGAGAATGTGTCCACATTCCCCTCACTCTGCAAGGCTGGAGGAAGAGATTTTATGCTGATGAGGAACTTTATGCAAAATGTAAACTTGTAAATAAAGATTTCCGTATAACAGAGGGAGAGCTGTGTGTCAGACACGTCTATTTGCAAAGCTTACGCTTTTCCTATTGCCTCCCTGTGACCAGAGTGATAATGTATAACAGGTCTGCAAAAAGAAGAGCATGCTGAGGAGTCCCTGCAAAATATGCTGCCTGAAGCAATCCAACACATGTTTTGTGGTTCAGGGAATGAGTGCAATGACACCGCAGTGTTTCAAGACAGAAAATTACATTTGGGTGCCTGATCATTTAAATAATAAGGAGCTTCTCAACTGCAGAGCCAGTGTCTCTCACTTGAATATGCCCAAAGAGAGATAACGTATCAATAGATATATTGTTCATATAAATTTGAATTCATACGCTCAAATTTCCCAGGAAACTGAGACCTATAATTTGGCACAAAACATACTTGTGTTTTTACCCCTGTCTGCAACATTTACATTCAAGTAACAGACATCAAAACATTTGGCTACAAGGATAGCTTTGGGATTTGCACACGTATGTACAGATATATATCTATGGAGCTCAACTTACTGAAAATATGGCTCAATTATTGCTTTCACGTGGAAGGAAGAATCATGAGGCACCAATTTGTGTGTAAAATTCTGGGGATGTGCATTTTCACACAATAAAAATATGAAGTAAACTGTATAATAGGAACATACTACCATCATTTTAGAATCCTGTATCTCCAGGAGAAATTCATGACATTTTCCTTATTTTAACATGTTAATGACTCCCATAATATCTGAATGCATCCATGAGACTTCAGGCCACTTAATCATCTGTAAAGATTCTTTTCCACATGATTTTTGTGTTTTAGAACTGAAGTGTGGTCAGAAGACTATAAAGTCTGGCAAAGCAATTACCTCAGCATTGGATCTTTCTATCTTCTCCTCCAGTCCTGTAGATAAGCAAGTGGATGTCTTGCAAAACGTTGGAAGATGAGTACTGAGCCCTAGCACTGCTTTTACTTGCCTGGCTCATAAACCTCTAGTTTCCTGCTGCTGCGTTCCTTTGTCATTCCTACTCCAAAAAGGAATTCTCATCAGCAGGCCAAGCTCTCTATGTAGATGTTGGATATTTGATTATTCCAGGATAGCTTGAGTTTGACAGAGAACTAACTAGCAATCTTGACTCACACTCATTTCTTCAGTGCTATAGCCTGTCCTTGGAAGATGGCTCTGATGAAGTACTGTGTGAATATCCAATGACCTACTGAAAAATAATTTTTCTTAAGACAAATATAGATATTATAACCTCCACCCCTTCCCCCCCCCCCCCCCTCCATTTTCACAACTCTAAGAGATTCCTAAACTTCTCCAAGCGAACTTGGTGAAGTATTTTCAGAACTTGGCAGCTCCTCTTATTTATACATGTGAGGACACTTTCGAACAAGTAAGAAATCTTAATGTAACCAAACCTTCAGTCTCCAAAATGAGAATGAAGAGTAGTGCCAAAGCCAGCAGACATTTTTATAAGCTAACCTTTGCAAAGCAGTAGCTTGTTAATAGTAATTTCTCATCTCCCTTGCTATCTTGCAATTTATTCCTCTGCAAAGACATTTTTGGTAAATTTACCCAAAGCAAATGTAATGATGATGTTATATTAAAAGCTCCCAAGCTGGTTAATCTTCAGAGGTGATGGAAAGTTTATGGAGAGAAATAGAGCCAGTGCTAGCCTCTGGTCACAAAATATAAAGGTGTTTATTTTTAACAACATGATTGAAGGTTGTGCTTCACAGCCTATTTTCCACACTATTGCACTGAGGTGTTAGACAGGGAAAAGGCAACAACCTACATGCCCAGTGCTCCCTGAGTGGTATTAGGATCTCAATGTCAGAACTGAAATAATATTCCCCAGTACTTTTTGCTAGGGAGGAACTGTTCTTCGGAGATACTCATACTCAGAATCGTGTCCTGATAACATAACCAAATATGATGCTGGGCTGACACACTGTTGAGCCTTCTCATTCAATAGGCATCATGAGATATAGCAGCTTATTCAATTGTGCTTTTGTGTTTTGTTATTAGCGGGGAAAAAAAATATGCTATTGCAGAACTAGAGTTTATTTAAGGAAGTTTATCTCCGGGGAAGTTTATCATCTCTACTGGTTTAATTACATCACTGAGAGTAAGCTAATTTTAGTCCCTTTGTGAACCTCTATGTGATTTCAAGCATGTTTTTGTTTTTAGCTTAAAATGGTTTTGAAGGTACATATGCTAAACTGAGAAGTGACATTCTAAATACAGTGAAAAGCTTCCTACATATGTTGCTACACTGTTTCAGTAATAGCTGTTTAACAGTATTCCTATGGATGTATTTCCCTTCACAGGCAAATTTTGACTTTACAACAGAGACTCTATCCAGAAACACTCCTTTTTTATTTTCCTGTTGTAGCAGTGCCATGAATTGTGTGCCTGTTCCAAGGCAGGAAGGGAGAGGAGTGTTGATCCAACACGTAATAGATGGTTATGTTGGCTGTACAACTAATTTCACTAATGGAAATTTCACTAATGGAACATAAAATCTCACTGATGGATTCCCACTGGTGATTTTTTAATAGACAGCAGCTCTTTGTAATACACCATTTCTGACTGCAAGCATTTGCAAATTACAGGAGAACCAGAAAATACACTGAGACACCTGATTCTCAATCACCACAAAGATACCCAGTACAATTACTTGCACAAAAATACATAAAAGGAAACGCAGACATAATTTACCTTTAGACCTTTACTCCATCAGAGTGACATGATTGACCTGAGAGCATGTGGAGCCAAGTTTAGAACAGAAACGGCTGTGAATAAAGAGAGAAAACCCAATATTACTTGGAAAGGTGCTAACAATTGAGAAAAGATGTGACTCCAGAATTGCACTCTGTACAGAAAAGGGATGCTGAAAAGGGCAACAATTTTGCACTCTGCAGTGGTGAAGCTGCATCTTGAGCGCTGTGTTGAGATGTAGGGCCCTCACTACAAAAAAGACATTGAAGTTCTGGAGCATGTCCAGAGAAGTGCAGTGAAGCTGTGAAGAGTCTGGAGCACAAGTCTTATTGGTCTTATCTGGGGGAACTAGGATTGATCAATGACATTGATAAAAGATTCAACATGAGCTAGCAATGCATGCTTACAGCCCAGAAGGCCAACTATACTCTAGGTTGCATAAAGAGAAGTGTGACCAGCAGATTGAGGGATGCAATTCCGCCCCTTTACTCCAGTCTTGTGGGACCCCACCTGGAATACTGCATCCAGTTCTGGGGCTCCCAGCGCAAGAAGGATACAGGACTGTTGGAGAGGGTCCAGAGGAGGGCCATGAAGATGATCAGAGGGCTGGAGCACCTCCCCTATGAAGACAGGCTGAGAGAGTCAGGGCTCTTTAGCCTGGAGAAGAGAAAGCTACAGTACAACCTTGTAGCAGCCTTTCAGTCCCTGAAGGGGACAGGAAAGCTGGGGAGAGACTCCAAAGTGCATGTAGCAACAGGACAAGGGGAAAAGGCTTTAAATTGGAAGAGAGTAATTTCAAACTAGATATTAGGAAGAAATCTTTACTGTGAGGGTGGTGAGACAGTGGAACAGGTTGCTCAGTGAGGTTACGAATGCCCCCTCCCTGGAAGCATTCAAGGCCAGGCTGGACAGGGCTTTGAGCAATCTGGTGTAGAGGGAGGTGTCCCTGCACATAGCAAAGAGGTTGGAACTAGGTGATCTTAAAGGTCCCTTCCAACCCAAATAATTTATATTCTGCAAACTTGCAGAACAAGGAGGGGAGACCTTATCACCCTACAACTCTCTGAAAGGAAATCATGGCAAGGTAGGGATCAACTTCTTCTCTGTGGTGACAGCAATAGGATGAGAGAGAATGGCCTTACACTGCAAAAGGGGAGATTCAGGTTGGAAATTGGCAAAAAAAACCCATCTTCTCTAAAAGAGCAGGAATGCAGTGGCACAGGCTGCTGCTGCCCAGGGTGGTGGTAGAGTCACTCTCCCAGAAGATGTTCGAGAACCACGTGGATGTGGCACTGATGGACATGGACAGTGAGCATGGTGAAGGTGGGCTTATGGTTGGACTAGATTGTTTTAGTGGTTGTTTCTAACTTTAATAATTCTCTGATTCCTTGAATTTTAAATATCTCATCCATAAAACTTTACTTCTCTACTTAGAGGTTACAATGTTTTAATATCTTACACCAGATCTCTGCTAAGCCCAGGAAGAATGTTACTATGTGTCTGGTAAAAGGCATATTTTACTGTCCCTTGTTTGTGATTGGGAGTGCAGTATATACATATAGATATTTGTGTTTTGTTGTATATTTACATATCCAGTGATAACACTTTGCAAACTAATAGCAACATCAAGACAATACTATTGAAATATCAGACTTCAAGGACAGCTTTGATGTCTGGGTATATAAATACAGATGCACATGAAGCTCTAGCTTCCCAGAATCTGGCATTGACAAAATTTTAGGTCAGAAGAGAGGAAGAACTAGAGAAGCACAAGACTTAGCACAAAACCCTAGGGAAATACAGCCCTTATGGCAGAAGTGTAGACTGTGCTGCAGGTATCAGGAGGGCCAAAGTTAGGGTGAACAGAGGCCATCAATACAGCTGTTTCCCATCACAACATGGAATATAGATGCAGTGGCTTTAAATTCAAACAACTCAGGGATCTGTTGCTATGGCAGCACCAGATGTCCACTGCAGAACTCCAAATAAAGGTGATGCCATTCCAGTCTTTCCACAAGCACCCATTCTGTTTCAGAATAAAACATCAGAAAGCCATCAGATGTCAATGCTAACACAGCCCCTGCACTGAGCAAAGGTATTGTTTTCAGGAAATGCAGTTCACAGCACTTAGCCTAATGAGAAAAAGCATGACTCATAACACTGAAAAATGTTTCCCAGGGCTTATAATACACTGCAATTAATATTGTTCCTGGAAAACAGCTTCTATTGTTACATAAGTCTGCAGTTGATGATTTTAGGGATAACATATTTCTGTTTCAGTAAGATGAGAAAATGTTCTGTAAAAAGAAAAGGAAATGAACGGTGTTTTATTTATACTTACGTGAGTCCAACTGCTAGCAGAGCATCTTTAGCATCTTCATCCTCTTACTGTCCTAAGCTCTTTTAATCCCAGGGATCTTGCTCATCATCACTGCAAACATTTTTTGCAAAGTAGGATGTTATTTGTGTATGGCTGTTGATTTAACCATGAAGACCAGCTCACTCTATTTTTTGTTTTTCCTCCAGCTTGTCACTTTACTAACCTGTTTCTTGCCACATGGAACTCGAAGAGGAGTTTAAAAAAAAATGTCTGCATGGCCATGGAAGCCTGTGAGCAGGAAGGTTGATCCCTTTAGGAAAAGAGAAATAAATCCATTCAGTGCTGTGACACCAGATTTCTTGAAAATTCTGAGCTGTTTCAGGCTTACAGACTGTTGTGTACATTTTGTTCTGAGTAAGGACCACAGAGTAGGAATAAATAATTTGTACATACTTATGAGCAGCCTGAAAGCAACTCCTAATTAATCACTAAGTAAATAAATTCTTTACTTCCAGAATCAGATTTTAGTATATAAATATATTCTCTTCTGTATAAAGAAGTTCATTCCCAGAACTTGGCAGGTCTCTGTGAACACAATGAAGATGACACGAGTGTCTCATCACATTCACATTAAGACTGTACCCCACATTATTCTTCTCTATCTCCATAGGAGAAGACAGACATTTGCCTTCAGGTTATGGTGGAAAGAACTGCCAGCAACCTCTCTCCAAGACCAGAATTACTCAAGTTAAAGGGAAAATAAATCCCCAAACACATGCATTATTAGTGTTGCTCTGGAAGTAACATTCTTTTCTTGAGAACCAAGTCTAAGACTTGAGTATAAGGGAAGTAAAGGGAAAGTAAAAGAAAAATGGATGGTTCACTGAAAACTATTTCTTGCTATGTTTACCTGAAACTTTTCCAGCATTGAACTGTATAGTATCTTATTGGTTAATTCATTTTCATATTCTTAAACCTACATGCTTCTTTTAACAAATATAAGGATTGAGCTAGATGTATCCATGGTGGGTCCTTCTCTATATTAAAATAAAAGCAGAGTTGTCAAGAGTTCCAAGAGGAAATACAGAGCTTGTTCAGAGGCAGGTAAGCCTCATTTTTTGTACCAAAAAAATTTGTAGAAACTATAACAGACTGAAATCAGTGAGTGAAGTATAAATATGAGATAGAGGAAACAGCACATATTTCATTTACAAACTTATTATGGACTTTTGAAGGTGTCAATGAGCAGATAATTACAATTGTTTAAACACATGGATATTCAAAAATCTTTCAGAAAAAAAAAATCCTTGCAGAAGACACATAAAGCCACCACAATCTAAGACACAAGAGCTCTCATGGACTAACACTGTATCAAAAATAGGAAAAAAATGCCAAGAATTAACATTTTGTTTTTACAGTCAGATTTCACATTTCATTAAGTTCTTGATATTCATCTCATAAGGGTTGCACCTGAGCAAGGAAGCTAAGAAAGCCAGAGTTGATATGCAAAGATTGAATAACTTCCACATGAAAAGAGTAAGTAGTCCTGACCTCTTCAACTTGGAAAACAGTTGTGAGAGGGAAGGAGGAAATGTGATAAGTAGGATACCATAAGTGATGCAAAGGGGATGATTAAGGAGTGACAAATCATTATTTCTCACAGTATGGGAGCTACAGAACACTCAGGGAAATTATTAGGTATCAAATTCAAGATCAAACAAAAGCAAGTTCTCTTTCTATGGAGGTCTTAATTAAGTCATTAAACTCAAATTTGCAGAACATCATTGAGCTAGACTTTAAGTGGCTTTAAAAGTAATTCAGAAACAATTATTAGTGACCCTTCAGCTCATTACATCCTAAATACTAAGATTTCTCTCCCATGATTCATTGCCATTGGCTGGTGTGGCAAACAGAAACCTTGGCTAAAAGGACCTGAGCAGATATGACACTTTGTTTGAATCCGCCTAACGAACAAGCTAAGGAAAACAAGCCCTTCAGAAATCCCAAATGAGCTAGAACTGCATGAACAGCAAACAAAATGTTAGTGTACAGTATCTTGACAGAATATTGTGGTAAGTTTGGCACTGTGCTACTTTGAACCGATTTCCAGATAGTACCCAAAAATTAAAGGTTCACATGAAGAATCTCCTGACACAAGGACTTGACTTTTGTGTTGAGACTTGCTGATGTCTCAAGCACTTGAGTGGTCCCAGGCAGGTGGAGTTATAGCAGCACAAGTTGGGGTGAGAAGTAGCCTCACAGGTAAGCAGCTCTAAAGTACTGGGAAGCAAAGGCCAGCTGAGAGCAGCCACAGCAGGCAGGGACAAAGGACAGCTGTCCCAAGCAAATAAGATGCCATGCTTGGATCAGCTGGCAGCTCCAGCAGTTGGTGTAGTACCAGTTTTGTGGAGATTTGGTTTGCTACTTGATTAGAAGCATGGTTACTCTGAAAGAAGATTAAAAAAAAAAAAAAAAGAAATCCTTCTGGTTGGGCCCAGTAACAGATTATTAATGACTTTGAAGACACTAAGTTGAGGATCTTACTTCTGACACTTATGCCCTGGTAGTCAGACATTTTGATCTGGATGTGACATATTAATTTCTTAACTGTTTCACAAAGAGATCTAAGCATTGTAGATGAAAAACTACAGTAAAACAATGTCATTTTGGCAAACACCTCTAATTAAGAAGAACCCAAAGAATTTTGATTGTCCTTATGGACATTATGACTCACTGCTTGTGCCTTATTGCTATGAATAAATAAACAGATGCTAGTTGCTCAGATTAGCTTCACAAATATATCTTTCCACACAGCTATATAAGAGAGATGGTATGGATTCCTGGGTTATTTATCACATACATGCACTCTGCTCACAAAGAAGCAATGTTGCTTCTGACAGATCCTTGGAGATACCAGGCGAAGTATTCACAGGTAGGCCAATAACCACATACAGAAAGAAGAGCTGAAGTCACCCTACTGATGAAGAGGCCACTTCTCTAGCTGCACAGCACTCCCTCTCAAGAAGCAGCACAGGCACAAGAGCTGTTTTCCCTCCAGTGGCTGTCCTTATAGGAGCACAGAGTGGCTCCATCCTGGGTGCACTCCTTCCGGGCACAGGTGCAAACAATGTGCCTGTGTTCCCTGGGCCAGGCACACCTCTTCACAGGATGCTCCATCACCAGCTCAAGCCCTGATCTAACAGGTCCCATATAACACGAAAGGCTACACGCTATCCCAAATCTTTTGAAGGGAAGACTGATTCCTTTAGCTAAGAAATGACGAGAGGAAGTTTCAAAGGCAGCATCTGTGGTATCTTTTTCAGGCAGACTAGCAAAAACCCACTTTCAGATAGTCACAGCAAACAAACACAAGTACATAAAGCTTCTTTTTTTCCCCCACTCTTGTTCAGCACTCCTTTCTTCCCTAATCTAGTCCAGAAAGGTGGTGCTGGGCCCAGCATCACTTTACATTCAGTCTCATCAGCCTACTGTAGTTTGACCCTTTATCAGGTATCATCTAATGTGAGCAACACTCCTTCCTGTTAAGTGGATCATGTCTAAATAAATCTCAGTGCACCATCTGGCACCTGAGTCAGCAGCAGGCATTGGCTTCCTTGAGAGGAAGAGTACCATTTGAAATAAGCAAGCTTTTTTCTTTTTCTGGGGATAAAACTAAGTGAAGTCCACAGACTAGTTAAAACCTTGGTGACCAAATTTGCTCTGGGAATTGAAAGCAAAAGACAGTGGGACAATGTTTAGAGTATGGTTGACTTATCTTGTGCAAGTCTATACATTAGGATGCTAGAACGTTCTTATCAATGAGTTTTTCTCATACGTATATGAAAAACAACTCCCTGAATTGTCAGATTTCTATCTGAGCTCAAGCTTCCTTCTCCCTACTTTCGGTTCAGTCCAGCTTTCTTTCCTTTATTTTTACTCATCTCAATCATGTAGGATTATGAATCATGTATTCTCCACTCTATATGTTCCTCCATTTCCCCCCATTCTATTTTACCATGGTCAGAGCAAGTCTGCATTCTAGATTTTACTTTCTTTCCCTTCAATTTCACTTGCAACTCCTGGTTCTGAGAAGTTTGTAGTCTGCTCTCAAGGTGTATATAAGAAACAGTGCTCCTTCATTTTCCTCAGGATGATCTAGGGAGGTAGATTTGATTTCTTAATGGTAGTAAAGTACAGTATATAAGAGAGGAAGAAAGAAAGTCCACACTCATACTGCAGAGCCCACTCCCAGAACCAGGTTTGAATGCAGCCACAACATGCTGTAGTGCCATCCTGACATGATTCTGAAAATGTTCTGAAGATATGGCCATATTCATTTATCACCTCCAACCCTGAAAGTAAGATTGCCTTCTGCACAGCTTGGCGCAGTGACAGAACTGGTCCCTAGGTGACTAGCAGATGCAACTGTAACACGCTGCAGTGCAGAATGTGTGGAGTTGCAGCCTCAATAGCCATAATCACAATATGAGGTGGAATGGGGAATGAGGGAGCTGGCAGAGGAGAACAGAAGAGTTTCGTTCTTGCTTCTAGTTCACCCTGGCACCTTCCCCATTTTCTCCTCTAAAGGATTTGAAAGTGGAATGTGTTTTTGATGAAGTTGTTAGTGCTGAGAAACTAGCAACAAATGCTGAACAAGCATTCCATCCTGTTAGCTTAATGCCCTAGAAGATTTTGAAGCAGAAGCCTTCAGGTTTTCATTTTAGATAAAGGTGACGCAGATGAGATTTTTATCCTTGGACTGCAGGCTTCGGTTCAGGCTGCCAGCATGCAGGGAACATAAGAATTGATTGTTCCTTCTGTCTGGAGAATTATGTGGAGACTTATGTGCAAGGCAACAGTTGAAGTGCCATCCTAAAGCCAGGGTAGCAACTGCAGTAGTTTCTTCCCATTCAGTTATAAACCCACAGAGGTTTGCCCTGCATAATATAGTAATCTCAGATAAGATTTCTGATTAGCTACCTATTCCTTCTGCTGCAAATATAAGTAGTTCTGGCAGATTTACAGAGTTGTAAAATGCATGTATATAAAAGGAAAATTTAGGATGTAAGCCTCTAATAGAGACGATGTATTCTGGCTCACTTTGGGAATAAGTATATGGATGAAGTTACAATCAAAGAGCTAAATGAACAGTTTATTCCTGTGGTTCTCACAGGTGATCTTCCTAATACATTTCAACATGATTATTTTTTACTTGTAGAGCACAAATCTCACAGGAGTGCCACTGAACTCAGTGCTATCCCAGATCCTCTCTGCCTCTGATTCTTTTACTGCAGTTAAGTGTCAGAATTTTCTGAGGAGGAATCATGGACTTTAAGATATCTGGCATGCTTCCCGAGCCTCTTTGAACTTAAGTAAAAACAATATCCTAGACTAGATTTGAACCTATTATTACCAAGAAACATCACTTCTTGGGGTGATATCAAGGGAAAAAGTGAAATGAGTGCAGGGGATCAAACCTTGCTCCTAGTTTTATCTGTGACCATGCTGACTTAATTGAAAAAAAATCTTAAGTGTAACATAGGACCAAACATATCACACCATGAGGAAGAGAAAGCAGGATTGTTAAAGGAGTTGTTGCCTTCCTAGAGTGAAGGATGGGTGTTCATTCTATGATTTGCTTTGCTGATAGCAGGCTAAGTTTTTTATGTAAGCCAGTCTACACCTCTTCTTTCAAGAGGCATAATACGATGTACGTGTGTTAGCCATATTCTGGTGTCATACTCAATGACCCTTCAGAGGAATTTAGACAAATAAAACATATTTCTATTGACTCAGATTTGATCTCTACGTGAAAATTTCTTGGCACTGTCCTCCTTCCATCTTCTTAGGAGGCATCCATGAAAATCCAGGTACCTGGCATTAACCTCACCTGTTTGGAATGCCCTATTGGACTTTTGTTGTAGACATCACTACATTCATCCCTGTCTGTGACACAGTGCTGGCACATGTATAATCAACAACCATACAGAGAGGTTAAGCTACAAAGATTACCACGTTAGAGAAGGACAATTAGAAACAAATGGAAAGCTTACCTGTGCCCTAGGCTCACAAAGAAAGACTCCAAGAAGAACAATCTTTGGAGAGAGTTTCCTTCCTCAGTGGCAGTCAGCCCTTAAATAAGGTTTAGTAGAGGTGGAGCCAGGCTCTGCCCCTTCTGATCACACAGGTGAATTGCCGTCACCTGTGCTCCCACAGCTGACTCATTGCTTGCCTCGGGTGATCAATCAGAGGTTCAGGCCGTGATTCAGTATTTCCCATACAGCATACTATCACATCTCAGCCTGCAATAGAAACAAATGAGCTGTTGATTCCTTTCTTTCTCAAAAGAGTTGGGCTGGGGAGAACCAAAATGTTAAGGGAAATACTTCAGGTGACTTTTGCATTTTAAAAACAGTTCTGAGTGAAGAATTTGGTGCTGATTAAGAGTCACGTTTATTAACAGTCACATTGCTACAACTTGAAACCCTCTGTCTACTAGGACAAAGGAAGTGCGAGTCAAAATTTATCTGTCCATTACATTTTTCAGTTCGTTTCCATGTCCTTGGACTCTTTGCCTGTGTACTGAAATAATAAGGATCCCATCTGTAAGAATTTATAAGAATGTAGCTATAATATCTGTTGTTTGTAAAGTTTCTACTACCATTTATCATCTACTGCTTACACTGTATCACAGCAAAAAGGAGGAATGATGGAATTATACCAGAAAATGCAAATTAGAGAAAAGGAGGAAGATAATCAAAGATCCCAATCCATCAGAAAATATACATGTATAAATGAGTATTCTCCATCAATATCCATGGGCTCTGAATGATCTTTTGAGGAAGTTTGCTCCTTTTTAAATCTGATATTTATTCACAACTCAGGTATGCTTATGACTAAATAGCAAGAAATCTTATAGTTTCTAGATAGCATGAGTATTGAAACAATGCTTTGTATTTTTTCTGAGTATATTATTTCCTAAGTATGTTTAAATAAGACATTCTATCAAAATCAATGATCTATGCAAAACTATAAAGGTCACTCTTCTTATTTTCCATATTTGCTAACTTCTGTATTGTTTCACTTAACCAGTTAAAAAAGATGATGATGAGAAAAGATGATGCTGCCTACTACTGATATGGCTATCAAAATATGTCATGCCTTTAGAAAACAATCAGAAGGCTTATTATTCTCACCACTTACTAGCAGGAAGAAATAGAAGGAGAGAATTAAAAATAGATTAGGTCACTTGAGAGATGGCGGAGTATCTTTTTTTCTGCCCTTATTTCAATGCAAGGTCTGTAAGAAAACAGAAGAAAAAAGGAAAGAAAGAAAAAAGTGAAAATCAGTCTCTATGCCTAGAGATGAACGGGCCAGACAGGAAAGCCTATGATGAAGTGTCATCTGCTAGCACAAGATTGTTTCCTGAGCTGGAGCTATCCCAGGCAATGGGCTTTTACATTTTAACAGTATGTATTGTCGGTCTACGGTTCACTAGTGATTAAAATATATCTTTTTCCTCTTAGACCGTTCTAGCCTTTCTTCAGTTTTAGCACCCAGTTCCTTGCTGTTAAGTACTTCTGTCTTTCCAGACGGTTCTTCTTTCCTTGGTATTTTTATCCTTTCTATATGAGACTGTCAGAGCCTCTCAAACTTGGCTTACTGCTGTTCTTACTGGAGTCAATATGTAGAGTGCTCTATGTTACAGCTTTTTGTTTGTTGAAGTCAGTGGATATGGCTGTTTTCCTGACAGGTGCTGTGGAAAACTGAACTGTTGTTTTTGGATTCAACTTTGTATGGAAATTTACAATTGCTTGTGTTTCTTGGCAACTGGAGCAGCAAGGAAGAAGCTCTCACATGCAGAAAATCAGCTATGACCTTGTTTTGGAATTTAAAACACAGTGACACAAACTGTGTCAGAAAAAAAAGAAACAGGAGAAGAAAAGTAAAAAGAAAAATGAAATCATCAGCTCACATTCTCACAAGCAGTAAACACAATCTTTCCCACTGTAATGGTAATGTGAAAAAATCAAATAGGGTGATAGTTATTTTCCAACAATAATGCTGGTGTTGATTTTTAGTCAGCACAGCCTATGCCAACATCGTGCCTAATTCAGCCATTTTTAAAGGTATTGAGCTCAAATTAAAATCACTCTCATGTAGGCAGTTCTATTTGCCCCTACACAACCTGAGCTCCTCCCACTCAACTCTGCCTGAGAGTGGAGCTATTAAGAATTCAGTGACTACTCCCAACATCATGATTCAGATTCTCAAGGAAGCCTTCCTCAGAGAAAGGGAGAGCTTGCATTCAAGTGCCTTTCCACACTGGTTTCAAAAGTCTTGTTCACATTACAATGGAATCATGTCTAAAACGAGGAGAACAAAGCAAATTTTATCACATCTGTAGTCCAGGAGCTTGGTCTCGCAATCATAAATTTAACTTTATTTCTCTTATTTCCTCGTACAATAAATGTTTTACTCTTAAGAATAATACATTGCACTTTTTCCTTTTATGCAAACTCAGAAAATCTTGCTAGTTGAACTAAACTTTAGTAACACAGAATAAAAATATTCCTTTTTCATAGACGGTACACATTTTTAAGAAACTGCCCAATGAAGGAATGTAGAATTTTATTGCTATGACTGTTATATCTGTTATACCTCAGATTATCTCCTGGGATGACCAGTAAGTTTTGTAAGTAATGTTTTTCATTAGTTCTGATAGTGACTGAGATGTTGACAACAGACCCCCCAAATTTTTTTTATAATAAGTTTCCAGGAGAAAATGAGAAAATCATCATAGCTTCCTGGATGAATAAACAATGCACAGAAGTGAGAAATCTGCATCCTTTCCTCAGAGAAGACCAGGAGGTTTCAAGAACTCTGCTCTGCCGGGAGCTTGCTGCTACTTGTTCCAGAGCTACCTTGGTGACCTTCCCATGCAATTCTATCTTTCCTGAGCAATTTGATGTCCAAGCACCACTTTTTGAGTACCAGTGATCTCAAATCTCTTGTGGAACAAAAGGATAAATATGAGCATCAGAGTCCTGACCATAGTAGGAGGCTCTGCAGCTTCTTTGCCCACCACCAAAGTGGTTCATTTGTTTGGGCTGAAGGCCAGCTCTGATGTAGCGCAGCCGTCTAATCTAGGGCTGAACTGCTAGGAAAAGAGTTGTGTGGAAAACTGGGATAACTCTCTTCAAAAACATTCCCCTCCTTGACTTGGGAGTTGCACTAAAGGCCCTTGGTCTTTGCCTAAGCTATCTGTAGATAGGTCTGTGCCACTCTGATGCCTTGGTGGTTCTGACCCTGTCTGACTCACTTGATTTTCCAGCTTGACTTCAGTCTTGCCTTGTCCCTGCAGGTTCTTCTCCGCCAGTCTGCAATCTTGGCAGGTTTGGCTTAACATCTCAGAACTAGCTGTGTGCTTTATATTTGATACTGAGGGACTGCGCCTCACCGGTGTAGATAGCACAGAGAAGAAACCTGACAGAGGAATTTGTAAGAGCTAAAGTCTCAGCTTTGCCAGAAATAATCTTAGATTTTAAACATTCACACTTGTAAGTTTTGTCAAAGCCAACATTATTTGGTTGTGTCTGAAGAATGACAGAAAGACAGATGTGTATGTGAGAAGCAGGAGCCATGAGCTGAGGAAGCCTGGAAATGAATTCAAATTGGATTAAATTAAGGAATGCAAACTAATGCACTGGAGAAAAATAATCCTACCTATACTTGCACAGAGATAGATTCGTCATTACCCATTATGACTGGGAAAGAAATCCTGCAGTTTCTGCATTTAGCTCTCTGAAAACATCAGTGGAAAGAAAAGAGCAAATCAAATGACAGAAATTACTGAGAAAGGAGGAAGTAGCAAAATAGGAAACACTGCTATGCTCCAGCATCAATCCATGAATAGTGTGTGCAGCTTTAGTTCCTTTACCTCTAAGAAGATGGAGTGTAACTTAAACAAGAAATAATAATGGAACAAACAAATAAACAAAAAACAGAAAAAGGATGATCTCTTTCTTGCAGTAGCCTTGATATGGTAGCGAATATTTACATGATTTTTTCAGTGGCCCCAACATTCTTATTAATGGTTTCAATCCCTTTGAAGCTGGCTGTGAGCAGAACTCTGTGTTGGGTTTTCAGCACTTTGGGTTTTCTCTGCGGGCAGTTAGACAGAGGTCCTTACAGTATTCTTGAGGCAGTTTCGACAGCTTTGTCTAGTCATGATTAGTGCTTATTTTAGACAAAAGCATGTCAAACATATAGCTAGGAAATTGCTGCAACCATCTGTCCACACAAATAAAATTTCCATTTTCCGTTTATTTTGCCAGCCAAAGAGCCATCAGGACACAAACTTTTATGTCCCATATGGACCTCTCTCACACAGATGAGAAAATGGAGCTGTTTGAATTACCATGGATATGGACAACGACTGAAATGACAAACCTTTCAGTCTTATGGATTTTCTGATTTTATTGCAAGATAAATATATTCTTTCTACTTCCTCAGCACTGGTGCAGCCATCCATGGATTACTGGGTCCATTTCTGGGTTCCCAGTACAAGAGAGGTGTGATCATAGTGGACAGAATCATCGAAGTGCCACAGAGATAATGGGAACTGCAACATGCCTACTATGAGGAGGGGCTGAGAGAGCTGGGGCAGTTCAGCCTGGAGAAAAGGAGACTTAAGGGGATCTCATCAATGTCCGTAAGTACCTGAGGGAAGGTGCAAGGAAGGCAGAGCCAAGCTTCTTTCAGTAGAGCCCAGCACCAGGACAAGAGGCACATCTGAGCGGCAGGCAGCACTTCTGTGCTGTGCAGGTGACGGAGCACTGGCACAGGCTGCACAGAGGCTGTGGGGTCTCCTCCTTGGAGGTCTGCAGAAGCCGCCTGGCCGTGGGCCTGAGCACCCTGCTCTGGTGGCCCTGCTGCAGCGGGGCTGGGACTGGGGGACCCAGCAGGCCCTGCCTGCCTCAGGTGTGCTGGGATTCTGTGATTATCTGGTTAATGCATGCATTCACTTTACAAGTATTTCAAGTAAATGCAAACAGTAGTTATTCCTTTTTTAAAAAATCAAATATTTTACACACTTCCAAATCAGAAGCCACTGTATGACCTCACAAATTTGTAACAAGGTAAGTTCTTTTCCTTTTAAAATTTAGAATAATTCCAATTTATACAAGAAAGAGAGAGAGAAGAGTCTATCCCTATGTTTCCAGCTGGAGGTCTTTATATTCAAATTGTCTTTCTAGATTTCTTTTTCCCTTTCTATACATTTATTTGCAGTAGTTGTAAT